GCTGATGCCACGAGAAAATCATGTCCATTCACCCGATCCTGAAGAGATAGAAAATCTAAGCAACGTTGACTTCCTCGGAAGACGAGTATTTCTCAAAGTGAACAGACATCATCATTTACTTCATGTTCTAAGCTGAACAAGAGATGCTGCGGTATCTGCGCTCAGCACAGGGCCTACCTAAACAGCTGCGATGAAAGCCACCCATGGTCCCGCACTTCATCTCAGCTAGCAAACCTGTGACAGTCCAGTTCTGCAGCTCTTAACCACTACACTATCAAAAGATAGAACGTTGTTAACTCGGAGTCTCGGACAGTCGACCATCTGCAGGCGTGTACATACGAACCGTGACAAAACCCAATTGTCGATCGTTCCAGGTTGGGTATCAATTTCACTGCATTTTTAGCACCAACGCAGGCATGCCCTCAATACCTGGCATGTGAGTTATGGGGACACAGACATATCGGGCCAACTCATAAATGCCCACATCTGAGCAAGGTGAGTATTTGCCGACCGTAGCGAGTCTGTGATCACAGCGAAATTGACGAGTAGAGCTAATCAGATCCATGAACCGATTTGAATAGTCGCATATACTCATCAAGATATTGCTCATTAACAACGCAAGACGCACCCGCCCTGTCCTACCGTGGTCAAACAGATGCACTCTCACCCTGCTCTCTAGCCCCCTCCGGTCACACAACGCGGATATGCACAGACAACTCAGTCTGAACTGCTGAATCGCACACAACGTCGAATGCTAGGTAATTGCCTTTTGAATATTGCGTTTCGAGAGAGAGTAGGTAGGTAGATCATCGTTCGTCGGACTCATCGGACTGATGAAATCAGACAATCCCGAAACAAAGCTCGCTCTCATTATTCCCAGCGGTGTAAGCCTGATCTTCGGCCCTGACCTCGGGATATGTCGACAACTGGCTACGCAATTACGCTCGAGTATTACCTACGCTCCGACCTACCTACGTTCTGACTTACATACTAAGCTTGACTGGCTTGACTGGCAGCAGGCAGCAGGTAATTTCCCATTCCATGGTGCTAACAATATCAGCACTCTTCAAATCCGTATTGTTTCCCGGCGCTGACGTACTCGATCGCGAAGTTTTGCTGTTTAATACCTTACTAGAATATTATACTTGTTTATATGTAGATAAACGAGATTATGGTAGCGGTCTCGAACAACTGCGCCGCAGTACAGCGGTGGATACAAGCTGACATCTGGAACACGGTAGCTACATAGTTATGATCAGTCTGTTATAGTTGCGTCCTTCAGCTATAGTGCGATCGACGTCATACCTGATGTCAAGCTTTTTATTCGTGAAACATATGAATTCTTAGGCCGGTAGTAAGCACCATGAGACAGATAATTATAGATAGCCCCATAGGGCTGAGTGGGGGGTGTTCATGCGATCCCTGATTGAAAGTTCGCTGAATATGTACATGATAGCGTAAGGTAGCAGCAAACTGGCAATGAGTGTACGTACTGTACTTGCATTCGGCTTGCACTCTTCGCTTCACTCCGACGACGTGATTGAGGCGGCTCTTGCTAGGTAGAGAGCTAAGCCTTAGCCAGGCGGCCAGGTTGCTAGGGTTGGAGTGCACGCAACGTCACCGGTATTTGACCAGAAGCATTTGCCCACGTAATAGTGAGCTGACGATGGATGCGGCACAGTTTGCGGCGCGGTGCTACTAGTTAGGTAAGTAGCCCATGTTCTTGATCGCTTGAGATCAGGGGAATACGAGAATACAACGGCGCAGGCGACAGGCAAGGTAGCGATTGGGTTGGGGTCAACAATCCCGAAGTCGCGTTTTGCCTATCTAGATGCTTAGGTGGGAGTATGGAGAGGTATGTATGCAGGTGGATCGAAAGGAGATCGGAGCTGGGCGGGCGACAAACACGGTGTGGGCTGATCCACGAGATCTGCAGTTGTCATGGTTAATTGCAAACGATGGTCTCGCCGAGGGTAAAGCGACCTGACAACGCTAGCCTAGAACTCCCCGAACTGCACCATGCTTCAATTAGGCATGCAGGATCAATCAATTGTGCCTGGAGAGTGGAGGAAATAAGGATGGGTTCGTTCGCTCGGTGTGATTATGCCCGCCTACCGTAAGTAAGATGGTCGGTCGGTCGACGAGCCCAAGCTCGGGCGGGAAATGAGTTGCGCGCCCTGAGTGAGTATTTATTCACACTCGGCCGCCGTCACGGCTTCGTATTCTTGGGGGTTCTGCTCTCCACGACCAATTGAAATACCAATTCGCATTCACACCCACTGAACGCCGACCCCGAGCTGCGCAATCACCAAACAAGCCGCAACACCACACATCCAACACCCATTAACACCCCACCCCGGGACGTCTTCCAAATTTTCCATCACCAACCTCACCACCTCACCGCCACGATGCAAACCCGAACCCTCTTCTCCGCCATCTGCCTAGCGCTACTGCCCGCGGCCGCGCTGGCGCAGTGGCCATCATGCGACCCATCGTGCAAGAGCTGCGGGCTATACTGCAACTCAGGGTGCGCGGCGCCTTTGACGATGAGCGAGTGCGACCGGTGTCTGTACTGCCGGCGGGAGTCGTCGAGCTGCGGCTTCGTGCAGATCGGCAGCGGCGACACGAACCCGCCCGACCCGGCGCTGTGCGCCGCCTGCCAGGACAGCTGCTACTGCCGCATCGACGCCAAATGCTACGACAACATCACCTTCACCAACCCGCCGAGCAGCAGTCACAGTGCGACGCCTACCCCTGTTTCGCTGAGATGAGCAGAGTAGAGTAGAGGAGATGGGTGGAAGAAAGGAAGAAAGAAAGAAAGGGAGGCTACGATGATGATGATGAAGGTATGCAAGTGACTTGAAGATGGCGGCTTGGCATAAGCTTATCTCGACAACGGAACCGGCTTGCCGGGACCGGTGCCTCGTGTCGCGGAATCAGCTAGTTGGGTACCGTACCTATGGATATCAATCAATATACGACGCCAATTCTGCCTGTTAAATCTACCTATGATCCACTGATAGTCAACCACACATCCCCAAGAACGTGTGATTGCCAGATAACCAAATCTGCAGTCAGTTGAACAACCTTGGCAGTATATGTAGCCCCCATACATAACACAACCTTGTAGGTCCCCAGGTACCTAGCGCGCCAGAGCATATAAGGACAGATACGAAACTCACCAAACGGTTGAACCCCAATGAGATCAATAGCCAGCGTTGGGTGCTCCGGGCCGTGGAGAAGTCGAGAAGCGCCAGTACCAAGAAGCGCAAAACCCCGTCTCCTACTCCAGTTGACTTGGAGGGGGGGGGGGGGGGGGGGTTATCGAGAGCCCCTCTGGTTCTGGTATCGTAATGGTTGAAACTAGACGCATAGCCCATGCTCGAGATTGAAGTTCTTGTATTGTTAGCTTTATACTAGCGTTTCGCGCGGGATAGGGGACTGAAGCATCTGTCAGCTATCTGCGAACGTGATGATTGCCTGACTGGATATGGATGCCGAGACGGGCTACCGTGGTGATAATGATGGCACCTGATATCGAGCCAGAAAGGCATGGCGACAGACAGCCATCTTGCCTCGGATCAAATTCCAAGCGCAAGCAAGTCAGGCCTTGGAACGGTGTTATATCTCACCTGTGCGGGCATATGGCATGGAAGATAAGGCAAGAAGGATTATTACGGTTGGTACATGGAGCAAGCAGATGCATGATGATCTACCTACAAACTAGTACCTACGAAAACAGAAATAACAGGGTAATAGTACCTAAGAAAAACACATAATAATAATGGTAAGAGAGAATATACCTAGGTACTTTCGTAAACAAGATTATAACGTCCCGAACCTAACCAAAGCGGTCCAGTGAACTTTAAAGGAAGACATTAAATAAACTTTCATCTTGCTTGAATATAAGCGATACGAGGTGCACGAATGGTATGGTATATCAAGGTTAGCTCTCCGTTGGCTTTGATCCCGACTCGTTGGCGCAATGGTAGCGTACAGACCTCCTACCCGGGAGGTTAGTCTGGGGTTGCGGGTTCGAGTCCCGTGCGAGTCGCGCTTTTTGCCCTATCTCACCCACCCACACAATCTTGGCTGGTTATTTATGATATTCATTCACTATGGTCACTCCTGAGACCTACTCACTCACCAGAGTCACCATGCATGCATGCGCATGATGCATCTATCCCTGCATGCTTCCTCGATCATCAGTACGAGGCCAAGTGAACCAACAACCAGCCTGCCCTGCCAAATCATATTTCTTGTCTTTTTGCTCCTATTGCTGCTGACACGCGGGATGAGATAGATGCAGATTGTGTTCCACTTGCCACCTAATAGAAGAAAAGATCGATGCTTTCCATTTCCTGGAAGATAAGGTTGTTGGATTTGAGAAGGTGCCGCCGGCACATCTGTCTAGCGTACCGAGCGTACCTACCTTGACGAGGGCGGGGTTGAATGGCTGGGCAGGAACAGGGGAGCTGGGCAAGCTACAGCACATGCATACGTCGCGTCGCGTCTTTCCTTCCAGTATCATGAATGAGAGGCAAGCTCAAGCTCCTACAACTGCAAAGCTACATACAATCCACACCTGCACAAGACGCAAATCAACTTTCAATTCCACACATTCTCTTTGTACATTGCCCACCTCGCTCGCCTTCACCCAATATATAAGCCCCCCCACTCTCTGCGACTTCTGCTCTACCTAACGTTTCTGCGGCCAACAAGCCCATTCACTCCTTGATTGCCCCTGGAACATGTCAGTTGCGCAGCTTCGGCTGTCGTCGCATAACCCAGCATGGCCACCGGCGACGAAACCCCCAAGAGGCAGATGACGCCTGTGCCCGCGCCCATGATCCCACAGAGACGGGCTGCCGAAGACGACCATGCACCACCCCGGCCCTCGCCCCTGAACCCGAACCCCTCCTCTCACGATGACCAGGCCTACGTAGCCCGCGACAAGCCCGCGAGGACCAAGAAGGAGACGGCAAAGAAGCGCGAGTCCAAGGCTGGTGCCGCCGGTCCCGACAGCTCGCGAGCCACGCCCGACCCCAGCCTTAAGACCAAGGACGGGAACAACAACACCACCGTCAGCGAGGCGTCGCCTCTGCGATACAAGCTGGCGCCTCCCCGGCCCGCCGACTTCGATGCCGCCCGCAGCCCCATCTTCACCCCCCACCACCAAGTCCCCGGTCTCGACGGCGCTGCCATCCAGTTCTACGAGACCTCGGAACAGTGAGTTGATTTGAGTCCTCGTGCCTTGCTTGTTGTATCCCGCTGACCCTCCGTCGTCGCCAGCGTCTACAACAAGAAGAACTACCACTACCTGCATTGCATCGCCGATCCCGCCTTCCCCTCCTCCTTCTACTACCGCCAGACCGAACCCGAGCCCCACGGCCCGCACATGACCTTCGAAGACGCCTCCACCCACGTCTACTTCGACCAGTCCGGACGACACGTCACCACCGACAAGGGCTTCCGTATGGCCAGGGCCAATGTCGCCGTGCGCGAGGGTACCTGGTACTGGGAGTGCAAGATCACAAGAGGCATCATCAACTCAGACACGGGCGCCAAGAACGCGAATCGGAGTAAAGATGCCGCACATCAACCCGCATCCCACGGCCACGTCCGCATCGGCTTTGCCAGACGCGAGGCCTCGCTCGATGCCCCTGTCGGCTTCGATGCCTACAGCTACGGCTTCAGAGACATCGATGGCCAGAAAGTCCACATGTCTCGGCCCAAGGATTTCTTCCCCGTCGGCGAGGACATGCTAGAGGGCGACGTCATAGGGCTCGAGATCCGCCTGCCGTCGGAGCATCTGCACAGGAAGATCGTGCAGGGCCAGTACAACCCTGCCGTCGACTTGAACGAAGAAGAGGCGCACAACACGGTCGAGGAGGCCGCTAACATCGTTCGCGACCGCATACCCATCCGCTTCAAGGCCCACATCTACTTTGAGAAGATCGACTACCACCCGACCAAAGAACTAGAAGACCTCATGAACCCCTCGCCCGTCGGTACCGCGGGCCACAGCAGACCGGGCGACAAGCCGAACCCGAACCACGCCTCTCCCGCTCTGCGCACGCTACCCAACTCGCACATCAAGGTCTACAAGAACGGCGTGCTCATGGGCACCGCCTTCACCGACTTGCTCGCCTTCCTCCCGCCGGCATCGAAGCCTCAGGCCCAGGTCGGCGCCAGGGAGGGCAAGGACGACGGCATGCTCGGCTACTATCCTGCCGTCAGCGTGTTCCGCGGCGGGGCGGTCGAGACCAACTTTGGGCCTGACTTTTGGTATCCGCCGAATGGGTACGAGACATTACAAAACCAGTCACAGAATCAGGATCAGAATCAGAATGAGATCCATATGCAAACGCAGACTACCACCGATATAGAGATGGCAGACGCCGTAGATGACGCGGATACAGTGCTTGTGAACAGTAGCGAGGCTCAAGCTCAGGGTGGAGCTCAGGGTCAGGCGCCTCGGGCCATTTCGGACCGCTACACGGAGCAGATCGTCGAGGACATAGTGGCGGACATCATCGACGAGGTCGACTTCTGGATGCAGGACGGCGCGCGCGTGCTGGATCGCACGGGCGGCCGCGACGAGAAGGCCGAGCCGGTCGGTATTGCCCCTGCTAGTGAGGAGATTAAGGAGTTGGTGCAGGATGATTGAATTGAATTGATTAGATAGAATATCAATCCAGTTTATTAAAGTGATTTAATTGATTAATTACTATTCGAGCTTGTGGTGATGCTGTGATGTATTGTGACGAATATGAATGAATCGCGGTTATTTCTGATAATGTTGTTGCTACTGCTGCTGCTGCTACTGATCAGTACCGAAACGACAAGGTCGAGGACCCGCAGCGTCAAAGAAATTTTAGAGAATTAGGAATGAATAAAGAAGACATAAGGGGGGAATTGGATTGAATAATTAGGGGTATCATTATTAAATTATCATCATCGTCGTGAGCATGACCCTGACCCGTATAGCATCGTATCTATCTATCTATCATAACCGCTCGCGTCGCGTCGCATCGCATCGAACCAGACCAAATCCGACAAATCAGACCCGACCAGACTAGCATTACCCAAGGCATAACTAACTAACCCGTAACAAGTAGACTTCCAACCTCAAAGTGCCATGGTCAATGAGTAAGTAGGTAGGTATGTAGGCAGATAGGCAGATAGGAAGCATCTCTTCAAACCACCATGTCTATCTACCACTCCCACTTCATACAGCGCCCTCTCTCACCGCGCCCGTCGAACCAGTACCTGTCGGGGCATCAGCCGCAGTGTCAGCACCAGCCGCCGTCGCAGCCGCACCCTCCAACATAGGATCATCCGGCAACTCCTCGACCCTGGGCTGTCCCTCAATCGTGTCACCACCCGTCTCTCCGGCAGCCTTCTTCCTCTCCTCTTCCTCCTGCTCCAGCCTCACCTCCCTGCCTCTCTTATGACAATACCAAAGCATGCTCATGAGCAAGAAAACCGCCAAACTCCACAGGACATTCGTCCCCACAAAAGCCGGAAACCTCGTCTTCAGCGCATTGACAATACCCTTCAGCAACCCGACCAAGGCCCCCGGCTTCGTAACAAGCTCCTTCAGATTCCCCGGGGTGAGCATGCTCTTCGCCGCAGCCTTCATGCCTCCTTCCCCAGCCGTGTGCGCCAGCCCCTGACTTTCCGCTGCCACAGCCAGGATCTCAGGGCCAAGAGAACCCGTGAGTTTCTCCGGGAGCTGAGCAACAAGTTTCTTGAGCCCCGAGGGCAAACGCTCGTAGTTACGAGCCAGCACGCCGTCGCGGTCGTCGATGAGGCCGACGAGGTCGCCGTACGCCGTCGGCACGCCGTTGATGAGGTCTTTGAGGACCTGGGTGAAGCGCCGCGCGAGTTCGGCGGATTCTGTTGATAGGGAGAAGGCTTTGTTGTTCTTGGCTGAGAGGTCGAGGTCGTCCAGGAGGTGGGCCATTTCGGTGGTTTCTTTCGCTGCTTCGTCGGGGGTGGAGGAGGGCGGCACGGCGAGGGTCTGCTTCCCGGATTTGGATTTGGATTTCGCGTCGGTGTTGGGGTGCAGACCGTCGGCTGGCGACGCGGGCACGGCGACGGGTTTCCGACGCAGGGACATTGTGAAGCGCTTAAGTTTGTTCCCTGTCGAGGGAAACTCGGCCGAGGGTGTGGTGGTGGTGGTTTCCTTCTCTTTGCCTTTGCCCTTGCCCTTCGCCTGGTCCTTGCTTTCGACCTTGTCTTCAGACTTAGACTCGGCGGCTCTGCTGTTGTCGTCGTCGTCGCTGTCGATCTCCATGAAGGGCGTCTTGACGCGCGGCGGCAGAGGCGGCGGGTTCTCGTCGTCGAAGTCTTCTAGGTTGGCAGAGGTCAATCGCTCGAGGAACCGCTCGTCTTCGCGGTCGAGGATGGGCGTCCCTTCTACCACCACGTCAACATCTCCGGACGCATTGGCATTGCGCTGGTTGGTGTCCCTGTCGGCGGGCGTGGATATGATCTTAGGGTTCTCTGCCGATGGTGAAGATGCCGCGGCTGCTTTTGCTTCCTTCTCTTTCTTCATGTCATCTTCGATCTGCTTCAGTTTCTCGGCGGCTTTCTCCTCGCGGTTCTTCTTCACCTTGCGGTAGGTGAAGTATTCCAGCATTTTGAGGTGCTGGTGGTAGGGGTGAGTTGTAGGAAATCTTAGGAATATAGGTAGAGTCAAGGGAAATTAGGAATATTAGGAAGGATTGAAGGGTGTTTTGAGTTGAATGGAGGTAGGTTAGGTATCAAGGCACGCGCACCCGACGCTTGCTTATAAGATGCGACAGGAATGGTGAGTTTCGGGTAGAGTGAGTGAGTGAGTGAGGTGGGAAGAGTGCGCAGCGATCTACCTAGATACCTAGATCTCGGGAGGCCTTCTGGGCGAGCTTGGCAGGCTACGTCAGCCCTTGCACCGCCCCACTGCCCCTCCAAGCTTCTGCAAGTGTGGCGAAACATGTCACTCTCGTCACTCCCATGTGAAGCGTCACCAATGTTGAAGCTAACAATTCCCGCTAAAATTCGACCCTG